ACATCATTAATAGATTTAAAAGAAACTCGTTTTTGTTTTCCTTTAGCACAAGCATCACAGATTTTATCATTATCAAATTTAAGCTTAGGCAACCCTCTTACTAAGTCTCCTTGAATTAACCGTTGCAAAACACTCATACTAGCATGACCTAGTCTCCTATGCCATAACCAACTATCATGCTCACCTTAGCAACTAGGCATAAATTAGTCATATCAATAGAATCTAAATGCACCATGTAAATGTTTCCTATTCTATGACCAATAAGCATAATCCGATTAGATGCAATGTCAATAACTTTACAATCATTAATTTCAAATAAGACATTGAATCCTTTATCGCATAATTGACTAATACTCAAAAGATTATGCTTTAATCCATTCACATATAAAACATTCTTAATTTGTATGGAAGAGGTATTACCTATTGTACCAATACCTTCAATGTGACCTTTTGAATTGTCTCCAAAAGTCACTTCTCCTCCATTTTTGGCGTTAAGCTCAATGAACCGGCTTTTGTCTCCGGTCATATGTCTTGAGCATCCACTATCAAGGTACCATGAGTTTGAATTTGTTTCCCGTGCCTTGTAGCAATGCTCATTTCCCTACAAACATAGATTAATTTTTGATTTTTGGTACCCAAATTCTTTTGGGTCCATATTCATTAGTTTCCAAAATCCTAGTCCCCTTAGGTATCCATTTGTGTAGGATATTTTTATCTTTAGTAGTAATGAGTTCTTTAGGAACCCACATACTTCTAATGATTTTTCCATTAGAGGTTCTTTGGGGACCTCTATGATTGTAGTTTCTAAAACTTTTTCTAACAAAGTTGGATTTTGAATTTCCACCTCTTTCAAAATGTTTTGTTCCAACTTTATCAAAAGAAGTTTTAAGATCATCAATTTTCTTTTGATGATCATCATTGATCTTTGAAAGTAAATTTTACAAATCTAAATTTTTCTTTTCAAACTCTTCTAGTTTGATTTGCAAATCTTTGATTTTACTTTCAAGATCGTTGTTGGTTTTGGATATGAGTTTGTTTTCATTTTTCAATTTTGAAACATCATTTTTATATTTTAAAAATAATTTCTCAGAATCCGAAGCCAACCCATTGTACTCCTCAAATAACTCATCATAAGATAAATCATCAAAATCGGATGAGTTAGAGGTTACCTTAGAATCTTCCCCGAATGCCATCAAGCACAAGTTTGCTACTTCTTGTTCCTCTTCATCGGAACTTTCTTCATCGCTCCATGTAGCCACATGAGCCTTGTGCTTATTCTTTGATTGACCCTTTTTCTTCAATTGTGGGCAATCATATTTGACATGCCCCGGCTTTTTGCATTCATAGCAAATGATTGGATCATTCTCTTTTGGTTCATTTTTGAGTCCTTCGTTTCGTTTGAATTTTCTTCCTTGGTAAGGTCTCATCATTTTTCTGAACCGTTTGGCAAACAATGCCATTTCCTCGTCATCATCATCATTATTAGAATCACTCTCATCTTTTGTGGATTTGAGAGCAACTCCAATATTTTTCTTCTTCTCCTTTTCCTTTGGTGTCTCTTCAACTTTATCAAGGTCCACCTCATCTTCGAGCATCATCTCATGAGTGAGGAGTGAGCCGATAAGTTCTTCAAGAGTTAAGGACGATAGGTCCTTAGACTCGATGATTGTCGTCTTCTTTGATTGCCATGATTTTGGGAGGGAGTAGACTAACTTCCTCACAAGCTTTTCATTTGAGATGATCTCTCCATATGATTTGAGACCATTGACAATCGTTGAAAATCTATCCGTCATAGCTTTGATGTCTTCATTTGGTTTCATCCTGAAATTTTTATATCTATGCGTTAGAATACTAATTTTTGATTTCTTTACCTCATCTGTACCTTCATGTGTGACTTGAAGTTTGTCCCATATTTCTTTGGCGGTTGTACACGATGAAACTCTTCCGTATTCATCTGGTCCAAGAGCACAAAAAATAATATGGATGGCTTTGGAGTTGAGCTGGAACATTTTTGTCTCTCCTTCACTCCACAACCTTGGATGAGTGAGAGGTTTGATGTATCCTTCTTCTACAGCATTCCATGCTCCCATGTCACTTGTTTGAATGAAGTACATCATTCTATTCTTCCAATAGGCATAGTTAGCTCCATTGAAGAAAGGAGGCTTGTTGACGGGCATCGAATCGAGACCGGAGTCGAAGTTTGAAGCGGAGGCCATTGATGACTTTAATAATCGATATAACTCTTCCCGAATCGACTCAAGAGGCGATAAAACCTTCAAATGAGTTAGGCTCTGATACCAATTGTTGAGTTAATCGATTGACGGAATCGGCCAAGAGGGGGGTGAATTGGTAATTAAAATTTTTGTGGAAGCTTTTGCAGAAAATTGAAAGTAATTGCACAGCGATTTACAGTGGTTCGACTTTCTCAAATAAAGTCTACGTCCACTACCTTAGCTATCCACACTAAGGATTTTCCAACAAATTCACTAATTTGTTCTTTCTTTTGAGGCCAAAGAGATAACCTTACAATTCCCTCAAGAGTATACCCCAACTCTTGAGAACACTCTTTTTCCCAAAGAGAAGATTACAAATTTGCAAACTTACAAGAAAACCTCGCAAGGTAAGATGTTTGCACAATTCTAGAACAAGAAAAGAACACTCAAAGAAAATTACAAATGAGCACAATAAGTGTTCTTTGAAAGCAAAATGAATATTGAATGAAAATTGGCTTGAATTGCACAAACTTTGTGTTTGATGCTTTCTCTCTTGTTTCTCTATGATTTCTTACTGATCAAGGGCTTCAGAACTTGTTTAAATACACATTGAATCACTTCTGAACGTTGGGGACAATTAATGAAGATAATATAGCCATTTTAGTGTGAAAACAATTAATAAAACAGCTTGGAGCGTGGGGGGAATCGGTTCCTCCTTATAGGGAATCGGTTCCCTAAGTGTAAAATTCAAATATTTCGACCGTTGAACAGGGGGGAATCGGTACCCCCTATGGGGGAATCGGTTCCCTCCGAGCATTCTGGAAATCTCGGAGTCAAACCATTCAGGGGGGAATCGGTACCCCCTATGGGAGGGAATCGGTTCCCTCTGAGCAATCTGGAAATTTTGGGTTTGAAATGGTTCGAAATACTTTGAAAGATTATTTTGAAATTGTTTTAAGATTAAAACTTAATTTTACACTTAAGTAAGGATTAAAAATGATTTTTGAAATATTTGGAGTAATGTTTTTATATTCGAATAAATTTATCGAACATACTTTAGAAAATCATTTTGGAAAATCTTAAAATTCATTTAACTTAATTTGTTATATCGAAATATCAAAATGTTTTCAACAGTCTACCTTCTCATTTTTCTCTAAACCTGTGGTGTTATTATTAGTTACCGCCTTACCGGAAGTTTGAAATCTTGCATTATTCTTTAAATGCAACACGAGTCATTGAAAGAAGGCAAATGGAGCAATGGAGCAAAGATGTTTAAAGAAGAAACAGAGAGAAGATGAACAACAATAGGGTTAGAAAGAAAAACCTATTAAAAATGGATAAATTGAACTGTTGCTCGTAAACTAATTTGACTTTACAAAAAGAGACATTATTAGTATTTTGTCTAAAGTGTAGGGATTGAAATAAAAATTAAATCATTTTAATGACGGGCAACATCGTCAAACTAAAGGCATTCAATGTCCAAGTGACCAAAACTTTATGAAACTATAACGTAAGTGATCAAAACTTAATAAAACGATAATGTAAGTAACCAAAACTTAATAAAACGATAATGTAAGTAATCAAAACTTATGTTTTTTAAATATAGTGAGCAAAAATGTACAAATATGAAAGAAAATCAACCAAAACTTAATCCATATATTATCTACGTGGAAGTGATGTAATTTTAATATTATATATTTGTCGTATCACGATAGCAAACCGTTAAAAGTTTAATGACTGTTAACATTCAATGACCACATCTTAATTAAAGCTAAACGAAAGTGACCATACATTATGTTTTTTGAATTCAATGAGAAAAGATTTATAAAACTTAAATGAAAGTAACCAATTATGTATTTTACCCGTTTACATAATTCTATTTTGATCATTTAATTATTTTTTAAATCTTTTAAATTATATTTAATATTATATTTTTATTATATTTTGACCAAATATTACCTTTTTATTTTACTAAGAAAAGGTAATGTATGGTTATACAATAATAATAATAATAATAATAATAATAATAATAATAATAATAATAATAATAAATAATAATAATAATAATAATAATAATAATTTAACTTCAAATACCCTAACGACGTACTCCACAGTAGCAACAGAGAGACAATTCGAGTTTACATGAATATTAATATAATTTTAAGTTTTATAATAAAATTAATACAATTTTCAGCATCTAATTTTTATATTTACATGTAATGTATTATTCGATTTTTTTGTACGGTTATACAAAAACGCTCCGATACACGAAGAAAAAAAAAACATACAAACAAACCGAATCGGTTTAAGTGGTAAGTAGCTCGATATCGCTTAATCAAGTTTTAGATTCGAGTCTTTATGTATGCAAAAAAATCTCCGCCGGAAGATTTAACCACAAAAATCATATGTACGATTTGAGTCAATCTAGATTAGTTAAGACGAAACCTTGGAACTGGAGAGGACAACAAACAAAAACTTAGAGAAACGAACATATACGCCCTCACCATCCATCCAAAATGAGTTTTTCTTTTACTGGTAAATCATGGCATTTTTAAATGAAGGGATTATAATGAGTACAAGAGTGGCAAGCTTTCTTCTTTAAGTTGAAGATATGGGGACACTGGTTTCGCTTAATAATGAAGCATTGACCAAAAACAGGCTCAAACAATCCTCAAAACATTCACCTTTTCAAGCTCTTCTCTTCATTAAAAACGTAAAGCATCCACACAAGTCAAAAAGATTAAAGTAAAAGAAGGAAAAAGAAAGGAAGGCAAATCCTTCTCTCTTTCCGTCACAATCTGATCATTTTCTTTGATATTTCCATGGAAGTCGGCAAACACGTCAATCTCTACAATCCCACATCGAAATTGTATCAATTATTGTAGGGGCATTACTTGAACATTAAAAGGAAAAGAACCTTTTTGGCTACAGATCACTGGTTTTTATTACAGACACTCGTGGAAAAGCTTTGTTCATACTCGATAATGGAGGTCTAGCATTGGTGGAAATGCTTTGACACAGTTTGTCGATGCCAATTATGAAATATGATTAGGGGGGAAAGGTTTAAGGGGAGAGGGGCCAATCGAATGCAGTGTCGTCTAAATCAAAACCGTCGTAGAACCTCATTTCCACGTCTTCTATGCTTTGGTCATCTTCCCAATCCCCATCTGATATCTCATCGTCGTAATCAGAACCTACGTTCCCGGCAACAAAGTCCCAGGCCAAGTAACCGGATGAGCCTGAATAATTTGAACAATCGTCGCAGCCTTTCATCCCCAAATAATCGACAACAAGAGGTCCGACAACTCTCAGTCGAGAGAATTTCTTGATGAAATTATCGTCTAGCTTCACATTCCAACATCCTCGGATATCCATTAATTCAAGCTGGGGGCAGTTTTCGAGTACCTTAAGCGCACCTTCTGTGCTAATGAGCAGGTATGCCACCTCAAGTTGCTTGAGCTTCGGCATCGTTGTAGCAATGGCAATGGCCTCATCATCTTGAGACACCTTGTCGATTACCTCTAAGGGGTGCATTGTTCTTCTCAACCCCGTTAGTAACTTACAGTGCTTGCCGATTGCTTCGAGGGCTGGAGCTCCAATGTTCCTGCAGTAACTAACATCCAAGAAAGTTACTGAAGAAAGCCGCCCGGCAACCTGTTCCACTATCGAATTGCTTATTTCGCTTCTCGGCAGCCGTAAAGTTTGAAGAGATTTGGCACTGCAAGCAAAGGAAGAACAAACATATAACGGCGGCAATAATCGAATTTACAACATCCGCAATGAAGAAGCTAAACAATGCAGAATTCGACCACTGTCCACTGATAGTACAATCCTATTCTAATTCATCACCACTACGATCGATATTATTCGAGATTCGGAACTTCGATAAGCAGTTTCATCCAACTATGTATTAGTTCAGTCTAGTGTTAGTTGCCTATGCTAATAAATGCCAGCATTTTCTCATTAAACCAAGTGTTTTCCGGTGCAGAAGCAATGGAATTCATGCCAAAGCGATGTAAATAAAACAAATTGCGACCGGAAGGTATGCCCTTACTTATCCGCGATGAATGAAAAGCTCTGGTCATTAGCTAGACCAATAACACAAAACTTCCGGAGTGAACCGGAGCTTCTAGTTATCAGCATTTGAACCATGCGATCAAGGGTTTCCGGCCGGCATTGGTAGCTCCATTGTTCGATGTCGACGTCCTGCCAGCAGTACGGTCCGGTAACCGCCCTCCGCCATGATTTGCACACCGTCGGGACAACGGTAAGTATTTCCTGAAGCGAAAGATTCTTGAAAATCAGCCCCAAGGCATCCGGAATCAATTCGCCCCAGCATCTGAAATCGCCACTCTCTTCCATCAAATCCCTGTTTTCCCTTCCTGCTAAAGCATCACTAAACATGAAACTGCAAGCAGTAAATAAATAACTAAAATAGAAGATAACATAAGCTAATTGGTAATCAAAAACTAATTAATATGGGGCCTGAATAATTACCAATTGAAGTTCTAAATTATAACCATTTTTTAGCACACGAAGAGCTTTCAGAATCACTAAAATCTGAGATTCCTATTGCAAGAGACCAGCTCTGAACAGATACATGATTGAAGATGAACTTCAGAAACCTAAATCAGAGCACCTCGTAAAAGTTCAAATGTGAAAAATAAAACATACACCGAAAGAAAGAAAGAAAAACAGCTAAAATAAACCGATTATGGCAGTAAAAAAAGCATCAAAACAGGTAGAAAAATTCATCCAATAAACCAAGAACATCGACATCACTGTTCAGACAAACGAGTAACACTGTAAAAATGTAAACAAAATATCATCTTTAACAAAAAAATAAGAAGGAACTGACATAGAAGAAATAAACATTTATGTACAGAGTTCACACACCTTACAGATAAAAAGAAAAAAGATAAAGAAAGAATAAGAAGAATTTACCAGAAGATGGGTAATTTTGTTTTCCCGGATCTGCAAAGACCCCGGTTTATCCGCCAGAAACAAAGGTTAGAGAGAGAGAAACCTGAAAGAAATATAACAAAGAGGGGGAGAGAGAGCTTAAGTGGCAGTAGAAGACTACAGAAAGAACAAGGGGGTAAAAAAAGCAACTCCAAACAAATAAAGCAATGGAATTATGGAAATAGAGAGAGAAACGTGAAGAAATGTGGGATTTTTGGTTGTTTGGGTTTGGGGTAAAAACACTGTAAAAATGGGGTTTTGATTCTCCACTCTGACCCCAACTTGAATATTGATTCCATCCAATCTGATTAAATTTTTATCATAAACAATTCATATCTCAATCCGGAACAGGGAAAACGAAATCTGATTCCAGATGGCGCAGGCAATAAAATTTACAAGGTTAATAATTTTTATGAAGATTTTAATATTGTTTAAGAAAACTTTATATCTAAAAAAGAAAGTACTATATAGGAATATATATTTTTTTATTAAGTTAGAGTGGTTATAAAATATTATATGTTTTAAATAGTCTTAATTTGAAAATAAATGTTTCAAATTTGTCTCGAAAATATTTTAGTTCATAAATAATTTTTAGTTAAAATTATGTGCCTAATGTTTTCCTATGAGCACTTTTAAGTGTCTAGACCGTAACAGGCGTTAAATTTAACTGTTAAATGACACGTGTCGAGTCTTTATAATTTTAAAATTTTATTTTAAAATTTTTTAAAAATATAAATATTTATTATTATTAAAAAAATCTCCCTCGCAGCAGGCTCCCCACCCCACCCTTTTCTTACCCCCTTTCCATAATCGTTGGTTGGTCGACTGTAACTATCATTGTCACTGTCGTTAGCACCGACATCGACTTCATTGGACTTTCGCCGTAAGCGGCTACCATTTGTCTGGAGAATCGTTCAAAAATTCGTCGGATATTAATCTACCATCGTTATTTTTTGTTGATTCCGATCGATCTCGATATTCATAAGCCACGACGTTACCACCATTCGAACCATTGTACAATTCCGCTCAAAACTCTATCATCGTCGTCGCTCCATCAGTGCTCCTACGACGTTCTACGGTTGGTAATAGAGTTGAAATTAGAGATTTTAGTTTTTAAAGTTTTTTTATAATTTCATTAAATTTTGGGTTTTTTTGTAAATAAATTAAGTTTTTATTTTCTTTTTTTCTTTTTTTTTAAATTAATATTTCTATTATTAAAAAATAAAAAAAAAATTATAATGGTGGGTACCTATAAGTATAATTGAGAAAACATTAGACATCAATTTTTAACGAAAAATTCTTTAAGCACCAAATTATTTTTCGATGTAAAGTTTATGCACTTATTTTTATATTAAGCCTTATAAATACTCTCAATCATTTGACAATAAAACGTTAAATCACTCTGCTGCAGTCGTTAGTGTTCAAATCTTTGACCTCTAAAAATAATAATAATTATTTTAATCATCGAGGTAAATTGATTCTTTTGAATTATATAATATTTTAAAAACTATTCTAACAACTATTTTAGTATTATTTTTTTGGTAAAGATGAATAAATTATGAGTTAGGCCGATGTATAAGAGAATTTGGGAGTCAAACTTCGATTAGCTCACCTCTAGAATAGATTGAATTTATTTTGATTAAATAGTGCCATAGAACTTCATAGATGGTTTTACGTGTGAACTAATTTTTTTCGGTAGTTAAACAAATTATTGTTTATAAAAATTATGATTTTAAGTATTTATTATTAAATTATTAAAAATATTTTAAATAAATATTATTTTATAAATATTAAATTACTAATTTATTTATTTTATCATTTTAAATAAGGTTTATAATTTATAGTAATTTATAATTTTAGAATTAAAGACTTAAAATGAATGCATTTTATACGTTATGTGAATCGAATAATATTTTTTCTTAAAATAAATTACGTATTTAGTCACTTATCTATTCACGCGATTTTATTTTTATCATCTAAATATATTTTTTAAATTATACTTAATATTTATTTTGTCACCACCGTTAGAAATTAAAGGTAATGTTGGTGTATCACCATAAGGCAATACCACATCATAATTGAAAAAATTAAAAAATATATATATAACACGTCAACATTTATATTTATTTTTTAATGATGAATGATTAAAATAAAAATAAAATAAAATATTATATATAATTTATTTTAAAAATACAATTAAAAATCAAAATAAAATTACGAAAAATAAATAAACTACATAAGTTATCCTTTATATAATTATATACTTTATGAAAAAATTACTCAATTGTAATTTTTTAATTAAATTAAAATATGAAAAACTTTGAATTCAAATTTTAAATCCTTTATCTTACCATAAATTATATAGATTTTTTCTCGTGTTTATTTTGCATCATATGTATTCAATATATTAATCGAAACCTATATATTTTCTTCTTTTCTTATCTATTTTGTATTATCGAGACTAATTCAAGTGATGAACATTTTAATATTATTTAAGTAAAATCTCATATTTAAATCATTTTGTATGAAAAAAAACTTTATCAAAAGATTCATTTATTAAAATTAAATGTGTAACGTGAATTTATTTGAATTAATCAGAATAAAGTCATGAAACGAAAACGACAACGAAAGAAAATACTGTCCATAGGATGGTAATGGAATGTTACCTCATTGGTAGAAGACGAGGTAAGGTTGTTGGCAGAACAAAATCAAGGACAGACTACAATCTTGAAGAATATCTTATTTGTACATCTTTAGTCACCAAGACACGAGTAAAGTTAGTAAGACATTGTTTTGTGTTACATTTTTCTTTTAAGAATATCTTATTTTAATACTGTTGTTTTCATCGATTTCACCGAATAATTTTCTTTAGGCTAAAGATCGTTTTCAGAACCGTTAATCTTCTACGTTTATCAACACCAACAAATTTTAAGTCAATTAATATTACTTACGTAGCTTGATGATGACGTGACGTATATTGAAAAAACAAATGATAAAATATTTACTAAATACAATAGTAAAAAACAAATGATCATCCAGTTCAGTTGGTAAAGCACAAAGTTTTTAACCTTGAGGTCGTGGGATCGAGTCTCACGGAGGGCATTTCATAATTCGGAGGTCTCTTACGGAAGCTGTTCTCAACCTGGTGTTGGGGGTAACATACTATCTTACCTCCCCTTACCCCATATATATGGGAAAAAGGGACAACCAATAGTAAAAAATCCCCATAAATTTGACCTAATTTCTTAATCTTACTGAAATAAATAATAAAATATTAGAAATTTGTTATAATTATTGTATTAATTAATATTTTAACTTAATCCCTTAATCAACACACGTAAAAAACTCGTAGTTTTATTACTCAAAACGGTTAACAGACTTCAAAAGTTAAGATAAATGCTCTAAATAACTTTTAGGGTTAAATTGACGTGAAAATATAGGGAAATTCGATAGATTAGGTTTACTAGTCGGCAAAATTGACCCTTAATCCTTTTCTTTAATTTATCTTGTCTTTTATCAAACAAAAAATTATCTTGTCTTATGCAACCATATTTTCATAATACAAATATGATTTATTATTTATAATCATTCCAAATATTAAAATCACAAGTAATTGTGATTAAATGCACTTTAATTTATAAAATAAATCAATCTAATTAAAATTCAGAGCATAAATATTAGTTTTAAATTTTAATTCTCTTACTAATTTAATTTTAGATTATCATTTTAAAATTTGTAAATGAGATTTATGGTACTTGAATCCTTCATTTATTTGGAATTAATAAATGGGATTTATGGCAATTTGAAGATTCGTTTACTTTGAATTGTCTGTCGTTGGCGGACATAAATACATGTGCCCAACTCTTTGAATACGCTATACATGAGCCGTTGTCACCTACCTACGTGCCTAAGTAAAGAAGGTATTTACATTCCAATATTCCTAAACAAATGATATATTTTTTTCTACAATTATAAAGATTAGTAATATTTTTTTAGAAAAGTATGTATTTTGTGATGGATTCCTCGCCCATATATGGTAGTCGGAAAAAAAATATTTTCCCACGTAGGACATTTATCGTATTATTTCTTAAACTAAGGTCTTTGTTACAGTTTTAAGTGAAAGAAGTAAAGAATATCACGCGACTTCGTTTTTTTCCGACGAAAGACACATGGATTACTATGAATCTTCAACTTTGTAAAATAAAAAAGATGGTTAGTGAATTTGAAGACGTGCAATAATCTTGAAAATTTCTAAATTTATTGTACAAAATACCATAGTCTAGGACATGATTGATAGAGTGAACTATTTGGAGACTTTTTTTTCAAACACAATATTTCAACCATTTCTCCATTTTGTGATTTTGATAAAAAAAAAGTTAACAAATTTAAGCATAGACAAAATTTATCAGGGTAAATTACACAATTTTTCGCTAAACTATATTCTTTATACTACTATTTTGTTCACCGTACTTTTAGTTTTCATAATTTACTTATTGAACTTTCAAATTGTTCTTGTTTCGATAACTCCAAATTATTTTATTATTAATTTCGTATGATATGGTATCATTATTTAATATAAAATAATTAAAAATATAAAATAAAAACATAAAGTAATTAGACACCATAATTGACCATCGTCGACCGCCATAGATGATGGTCGCTCAATCCAAAATTCCATGGGTTACTTCACCTCGACACTGTAAGTCCGACTCCGACTTCTATTTTGTCGGAACTTGCTCCGAAGTCCATAAATTAAAGATTGACTATGGGGTAGAAACGAACCGACCCATAAAATTTAGGACTAAACGACCACCGTCTACAATGTCCAGTTGTGGCGTCCGACCACCTTCTGTTTATATTTTATATTTTTAATTATTTTATATTAAATAATAATATTAAATACCATGTCATATCAGAATAACAATAAAATAATTAGGAATGATTAAAACAAGAGCATTCAAAAGTTAAGATAGTAAATTAGAAAAACTAAAAGTACGATAATTAAAATATGAGAGAGAATATAGTTGAGCAAAAAATAATAATGCAATTTACCTAATTTATAAAGAGAAAATGAAAATAAAGTTGGAAAACAAGACCGTTAAATGAAGGGGAGAATATATAAAGACATTGGACTAAACTTTTATTGTAGAAATCGTATTCTCTTACGTAATCTCATATGACAAGTCTTCTGACGCTACAGTAACCAGCACTTGTCCAGTTGTCCCTATTAACCATCTGCTTATACAAATAATAAAAAATACTATTCTTAATATAGTTTTTGTTTTTAATTGAAATGTGATCATACATATTTTGTAACGCTTTGTTTTATTAATTTTAAAGTATATATTTTAAATTATTAAAAATAAAAACATTTTAATTTTAAGAATGCTAATTTTTTCCGAGTATAAATAAATAATTCATAAGATAAAAGTGAAAAAAATGAAAATAAATACCTCTAATAAGAATGGTCAAAATACTAGAACCCAACGAATCTCAACCTGACCTTATAACGGCAGTTTCTTTTAAATTTAAGGAGTCAGGCGGGACGGAGCTGGGTTTAAGGTGAAAAAAATCAACCCGACCCAATCCGGTATAAATTTATTACAGCCAGCCATTTGGTGTCTGGCATGGATAAATATATATTTTTTAGTAAAAATATATGATAAATATATATTTTGTTGTTGTTTTAATCAAAGTTTTAATCATCATTACTGCCTGATTGGTACAACTAGAACCACATGAACCGGCAAGTGCACCAGCAAATTCCAAAAAGGCAACGTATCCTTGTGGAATATATGGATTATGGAATCCACACAAAATGTGCTTTTAAAGTCAAAAGAAGTGAAAGATGTTTACTTATCCAGAGTGTGGTTAGACTAACTATTAAAATTTGGGTAAACTACGTATTTAGTATATAAACTATTAGTTTTAATCCATTCTAGTATATAAACTTTTATTGTTTTTCAAAATCATACCTAAAATTTAGTTTCTGTTTCATTTTTGTGTCTCGCTCTTAAAAACTTCATGCGTTTAATATATAAACTATCAATTTTGGTTCGTTTTAGTACCGAAACTTTTATTTTTTCAAAAACTTGACATTAAATTTTGAACGGTAGTATTAAAATAAAACAAAAACTAAACGCATAATTTACCCTAAAATTTCCTAAACACATAATTTTAAATATTTTATATTAAATACCATGTCATACCAAAATAATAATAAAATAATTATGAGAGATTAAAACGGGAGCATTCAAAAGTTCAGTGAGTAAATTAGAAAAACTAAAAGTACAACAAGCAAAATAGAAAAGAGAGTATAGTTTAGTGAAGAATGATTTAATTTACCCAATTTATAAAGAGAAAATGAAAATAAAATTGGGAAACAAGACCGTTAAATGAGGCTTTTTTATTGAAATATAATCCTTATAAGTAATAATTACCTTTTAGGCACCTTTTCTTTAAATTTTATCGATTTAGCACCATTTCTTCCAAGCTTTGCAGGATTTTGTCCGAGCTGGCACCACGTCATGAAAGCATCCGCGCCTTATCCGAGCTGGCGCCACATAGAGACATGCCAGATCACCATCTGCGCCTTAGCATTTATAAAAATATACTTTAAAAAATTAAAAAAATAAAATTATAGGAACTAACATCGTAATTAAATACATATTAATTCCATGAGTTGAAGATTTTAATGAGGTAAGCTTATATAGGCATATTAGAGTATTTATGTTATGTTTTTTGACAATGCAAGATAAAAGCTAAAAACTAAAAGGGAAAGAAAGGATGAGTTCAACGTTAAAGCGAACACTAAAGATTCTTTTGTTGCAGTTATGGGTGGTCTTATGGTGTTTTTTTGCGCTTTGATCACAAAAATTCCATGTAAAGCTTTTTTCTTCTTCTTCTTCTTTTGGTTGGTTTGTTTTTGCAATATTCACTTGATATTTGTTTTGTTCTTTCTTTCTTTTTTTCACCATGTTCTAGTTGCTAAAGCATGCATGAATGTTTCAATTCGGAAAACAAGTTTTCTTTGCTTTGAAATTTTTCTAAGTGGAAGATTATGGTAAAAACAATAACAGTGAAAAATTATGGTAAAATTGTTTTCAGAGGTTCATTTAATTTCGAAACAATAATAGTAAATTTGGAGTTATCACAAGATATCTAACAGGGCTATTAAGCTAACCCTAATATCTCACATTATCAAAAAATATAACTAAAACATTTCAATATGTCTGTATAAGCTAATCTCATTAAACTCTTTAACTCATGAAACTAATATGTATTAAATTACAATGTTAGTCCCTATAATTTTATTCTTTTGACTTTTTAAAGCATGTTTTTTTAAATGCTAAGGCGCGGACGACGATCCGCGCCTTCCCTTAAGTGGAGCCAGCTCTGACAAAACCCCGCTAAGGCGCGGATGTTGATTCGTGCCTATCACTACGTGGCGCTAACTCAGAGAAGGCGCCAACTTAGAGAAGGCGTAGATGACCATTCACGCCTTTCATGAAGTGGTGCTAGCTCGTACTAATAGCTAGTACACGAAAGTGCATACCATGATTCTTCTGTCTATCAATAATTGTGTGCATTGTGCGGTGGATGTGAAGAAGTAAACCGTTATCTCGACAATAATGAGCCAAGCTAGTATTTGCAGTGAACCCACCTATTAAGTAGTCATGCATTACGATAGGAACTCCTAATTCTCTGGCACACATGACCCTTTTCATCATTTATTCACACTTTATCTGAGCTGGCGTCAGCTCAAATAAGATACGAATGATGATTTGCGTCTTGTCAAAAAAAATATTATATTGATAAAATTTAAAAAAAAGTGTTTGATAAGTAATTATTATTTGAATTGTCAGGATAATATTTAGGTAAAAAAACCGTTAAATGAAGGTGATAATCTGATATAAAGACACTTGAACTATTCTTTTATTGGGAAAGTTCTACAATGCAATACCTTAATATAAAGCTAAAATAAGACATTACTGGTTTTATTATTATTTAAATAACAAAACGGATAAAAAAAATTACCTAAAACATTATTATTTTTATCTAAAACGTTAATTTTTTTAACATTTCCGGTAAAAGTGCCCGACAATAACAAAATCAATAGAAAAATTAATAAAACCGATAACGCTTTACCAAATCCGATAAAGTGCACAATAATAACAAAACCAATAGAAATAATAATGTTTCCGATTAAATAATAACAAAATCGATAATATTTTTTTATTCGTATATTAATTTCGCCGGCATTTTCACTTTTATTGTAGAAATCGTATTCTCTTACGTAATCTCATATGACAAGTCTTCTGACGCTGTAGTAACCGACACTTGCCTAATGGCCCCCATTAACCACCTGCTTATACAAA